CATTCAAAACGGAGGGTGTTGGGATACAGAGATCTGGCGAAAGTCACGGCGTCGCACAGATTTGACCACTATGTAGATAGATAGATAGATAGATAGATAGATAGATAGATAGATAGATAGATAGATAGATAGTGGATGGATATATCACTAGAAAGATAGATAGACAGATAGATAGATAGATAGATAGATAGACAGATAGATAGATAGATAGATAGATAGATAGATAGATAGATAGATAGATAGATAGATAGATAACTAGATAGATAACATCTGGCATGAGGTTATGAAAGTCCTAACCAGCAGTCTGGGTTACATAGGTCCTGTTAGGCTCTTGCATGGGGACCTCGGGATGATCGTACCCGTTGGTTAGAGACACTCAGTGATATGGCTTGGTGTCGTAAACAGTGGTGTTTATGCATCTTCTAAATTTCGTTGCATTATTAGTCCACTGGACTTCTCAATTTTCTCTTCGATCCTATTTCCAACCATTCCTGTCTTTATCTTATTGTTCATCCAAATAGGCAGCCAAAGGAAAGCATGGTTGTAAAAGGTGAAACTGAAAATATAGATAGATAATCCAATTTCTCTTTACTGTAGATCATTTTGATAGATTATAATAATAATTTTTCTTCTAGATGGTATCTTATTGAACTTACTTCATGAGCGTGAATAAAGATACGTTAGAATTTTCGCACCGGCAGAACAACGATGAAAGATCATTAATCTGATGATTATCAGATACAGAGTCCATGATGTAGTCTTTGTGTATCGAAAAGATTTTGTATTGTCTTCAACCGAATTATGCACCTGTAAAATGTTGTGTATGTTGTTATCTCCCCAGTAAGTACTGTCTGTAGCTGAACTCGAAAATGTATACTCTTTTGCTTGTTTTCTACCTGTGGATTTGTTTGTCAATCTCATGCAGTAGGTCACACGCGCCCATGTTGACTGACTGGCGAATTGGAACTCTATAATCCGACAGTTTATAAACCTCATATTTACGGCGGGTAATTTTACACAGTTTATTGTGACCTCTCACTGTTTAGTGGGTGTTCGTCTGATATGTGAACATCACAACGCAGACATTTGATCACCCGGGTACAACAGTGTGATACGAGCGTACAAGTGGTACGTTTAAAATCCGTTGTATTTCTCGCTACTCTTGCTATTGTTGATACATTTTTTTGTTATTATCCGTTAAAGGTAAAACCAGTTTATTGGTTTACGTAAACAATCAGTGTTATTTACAGAGTCACAGTTTACCGTTACCTAAATAGTAAACGTTGACCTCACTCTACCTACCAGCACCTTAACAATAAATTTCCAGCTTTTTTCATGGTTTGTGGATTAGCTTGCTTTCTATAAAACTTTAACCCCATTTTTATGTATTATTTATTACTAATGTCACGTGTCTCTCATCCGTGTCTCGGAGTAAAGTGCGGAAAACGAATTGTGAAGGGTATACAGTGTGACACCTGTAACCGTTGGGCTCATCCCAAATGTTCGGGAATACACGAGTGTCACTACAACTTCTACTGAGAAAACAGTGAAGTTGAATGGGTTTGTGACCACTGCAAGAAAGCAGCGCGCCAAGCCTGGACGGCTCATCAAACCGAAATACACGACAAGAGTATTGCGATTATCACCGAACAACCGCGGAAGCTTAATCGGACGCCCCCATACAAATCTCCAAACGGCAACACCAACCTCCGTAAAGAGATCAGACAGCAAGCTGCTAGACCTATGAAACAGCGAACGATCATAACGCATGGTACTGTAGATACAAACAGTAAACCCGAAACGCCCTCCCACCCCTCCACCGATGAACGCCTTACCTACGGAAGAGGCCTCAAAACCAAAACGGAGTAGCCTCTTTACCCTAGTGACGTATACTTCTTTCTTAAGCATCCCTAGCCTCAGAAGCCCGGGGCTCTGCACGCCCCCAATAGTAGTCAGACGCATAAATACCACCGTTAGAAGTCCTCCGGATCCAAAGCCTATCGGGAAACCGAAACCTCCACGAGGAGGAGCACCCAGATGAGAGCACAAATGCTACGGGGAAAGTCGCTCCTCCTCAGATAAGCTGGACAGACTAGAGCGTAACCTTTGCGAAGTACATGCACTCAAATCAGCACATGAGATATCTATGGGAAGAAATAGAAATCTGACAATTAACAACTTCCCAGAGATCTTCATGAGGACACATGTGCCAGAAGGAAGAGCAATGTGGTGATCGTGTAACAAGTGCGCACACTTCACGGTACGGCTTCCAGGTAACCAATCAAGAAACGGGATAATCGACCAACCCTGTGATCTCAATTAGCATCATCCGGATTGGCTGAGTGCAAGAAGGCAAACAGATAAACCATATCGGTATCGATTGGACGTTCAAGAATCGACGAATGATTGTTTGTTGATTGTTATATATTTTTCCATGATTTTCTGAATGGAACCAACTGTATCCACAGCTCGTCTTGGTTCCACCTGACTTTGCGCTATTCATTGGGTTTTCAGTCCGATTCCGAGTTCGCGCTATTCGATTTCGATTCCTATTTCGAATACTCTAAGGCCCGTGATCTAGTAGATGCGACAATATGAAACTCAGGAGTTGTAAATTCTGTGCGTACCAGAAAAATCTACCGCATCGGCAAACGCGACCCGGAAGGAACTATCACGACACCCAGGTCGTTGTTAGTCTACTTCCGCTTTCAAAGGGACCGGGACACCATAGTGACGGCAGCGCACAAAGTAACGAAGTGCTAGATGGTAACATAAAAATTACCACGCATACAGCAAGTAAATCCACAACATTAAACTGACACCAATCATGCCCACCTACGAATCCAAAAATGTCCAACTGGTAGCGTGTACGATAGGTTATCCGGTATTACCAACCCTGGTAGGAATGTACCGAACCCCCGTAGGACGCCGCTCGAAAACGCTGAGCTGATTAATAAACTTCTAGACCTGATAAAGACTCCCCTGCGGTTGTGTATCATTGGAGACTTTAACGCCCCAGGGATACACTGGGAAACCGAAACCAACGAAGGCCCTGGCTTTGAAAACCAATTATTAGAACTGCTGCACGAAGGCCGGCTCCATTAGCACATCACGCCGCCAACCAGATTCAGAGAACGGCAAATCCCGTCGACCCTATATCTGCTGATTACGCGCAGCGAAGGCATATTCCGAAATCTATATCGCAGGAATCCACTAGGAAAAAGTGATCACATCGTGATCTTGTTCGAACTTATGCTGAAGGTTCCCACGCCACGAAGTAGGGTAGCTAGGTCATACAGTAAAATCGACCACGTCCACGTCACAAGGCTTTACGGAAACTCAACGTCACCTGGGACAGATACACAATTCTAGAAACATTCGCTGACTGGCGGCAGTACAAAAGATTAAGAAATGAAGCGGCCAGCACATCGAGATCACGCCGGAGTCAGTGGGAAATAATTCTGGCAAGGAACATTAAAACGCAGCCAAAACGTTCTATAGCTACGTCCAATCGCAAGCTAGATCCCGAAAGGCCATAAGTTAGCTCCGGCGTTTAGGGACAATAACCCCAGACACGAACCAGGGTATTGCAAATATATTCAAAGAACACTTCCAGGTAATCTTCTGAGTAGAGACGATTGTAAACAGCTTTGCAGACGAGGATATTGCAGGCCCATACAGCCCTAGGTGGATCATAGAACACGACGTGGTCCTATATGTGATCTCCGGACTCAACCCGATAAAACCCGCCGGTCCAAACAACCTGCACCCAGCGGTTTTAAAACCGCTGGCACCGGTATTCACCTGTAGTGGCCTGAGACCGACAGTGTAACACGCTCGAGAGTTGTTGCCACCTTTGGTCTGCCTGTTCCGCATGTATGCTTTCGTATGGTTGCAAGCATTGGTTGCTTGGAGCATTCGCTCGTGCATTCTTCTCCTTTGTAGCATAGATTCCTTTAGGATATTCGATATCCTATCGCAGGTCGTGATATTGAACCCCCTCATCTCTTACATCCAACCCCTAACATCATTGTTCAATCCGTCGATGTCAACAGGCCGGTCGACTGGCGCAGAGCAACGATAGCCCCCATCCACAAGAAAGGGGATGCAGCTAATATAGAAAACTACCGACCCATTAGCTTGCCCAGCATCGTTTCCAAAGTGATGGAGCGGATAATAGGAAAAAACTAGCAGAGTACCTAATGGGCGTGCGGTTCTTTTCAAAGGTACAGCAAGGATTCCTCAAGGGTCGATCCTCTCTGACCAACCTCTTAGTATTTCTAGAGGAAGTAACAAGCAGATTAGACAACGGAGAAACAGTCGAATTTTGCTACCTCGACTTCCAAAGGCGTTCGATTCCGTTAACCACGTGCTGTTATTGCATAAATTAAGGGGTACAGGAGCTCCAACCCGGTTATGTAATTGGATATCCAGTCAACTCCACGAACGCACATTCCAGGAAAAAAATACGATCCAAGATCCTCAGCGAAGGGGAAGCCACAAGTGGTGTCCCCCAAGGGTCAATAACACAACCACTCCTCTTTCTCATATTTATCAACGACCTTGTCGCGGAGGTCGTAAACCTATGCCTCACCTAAGCAGACGACATCAAAATAGTTGACGACTTGTCCAGTCGTCAACCAATACAAGACGACTTAGACAGGCTTTCAGCGTGGATGGTCAGGTGGGATCTGCCGTTGAAATCAACCAAAGATTGTCTTTTAAGCAAAACTGCCCCTGAACCCCCCTGCGACTTACACTCCCAAATCAAGAAGCACATACTCTGAAACAAGAGAAGTATGTCAAGGACCTTGGGATTACAGTCTCAGCCAGCTTTGCACCCAGCGAACAATGCACCGAAGCAGCCCACAAGGCTAGGAGAGCGTTGTTTGCACCCAGCAGAGAAGCCGATGTATTCATCCCTCTGTATAGGGCTCTCGTAAGACTCCACCTAGTATACTGCGTCCAAGCTTGGGCTCCCTGCCGAGCAATGGACGTAGACAGATTAGAAAAAGTGCAAGGGCTAGCCACCAGAATGGAGCGTAAAACCAAAGGGTTATCCTACAAGGACCGTCTTGGGTACCTAAACCTCTTGACTATGCATAGGAAACGTCTAAGAGGAGAACTGATCGAAGTCTTCGGGCAAACAAAGAACGCCAATCTGGGTCTCTCACCTCTGAGATCCACGAGAGAACTAAGGGGCCACGAATAGCATCTAGAAAAGAATAGAAGTAGGTTTGATGTGAGGAAACATTTCTTCACCAACAGGGTGGTCAATTTATGGAATCGCCTCCCCGAAAGACTCGTTCAACCAAACACAGTGCAAGCCTTTAAGATGAAATTAGATAGAGTATGAACCGAGACCTTTCCAAAAAAGTGACCTAAAACAGAAGGGAAATAAGCTCATTCTTTTCTTCTCTCCTCCACCCCACCTCCGTTTGACATAACGTGGTGCGCATGCACACGCAGGAACGCTTACGCTTGAGTGTACGTAAGTCTCGCACCAACACGTCTGGAAAATAGTTTGTTCTCTCTCTTTTTCAACTTTGCCGAAAACAAGCGCGACAACTACTACATTCAAATCTCACATCCTCAGACGGTCGAGGAACAATCAACCGTGCTGTAAGCCGGATAAACATACATCTCGATTGGTCAACCGACGAGGTCGAGCCAGACTCACGACAACCATAAGGCCGAGGCTTCTACGTCCTGGAAAGTTGGATTGGATTGAAGAGTGACTTAAATGCATTGAAAAATAACTGTATAATGGCTTGCAGTAGGGGTCGAATTACCATAACAACGTGTCCGGGTTCAAATCCCACTTGCACAGCTAGCGATTCCATGCCTGACACGTTGACTTAGATTGACAAAGCCGCAATGGGACTGACCATATTTAGTTCGAAGTGGTTTGTTTATCAGTGCTTAACGAATCCTATTAATTCATTCATCTACTGAAGTTATTAAATTTTCCCGTGTTTGGTATTCAACTCAAAGATTTCCGGTGACGAACGGCTGGATTACTTACGTTTTCAGCCTAAACTGTTACATTCATGAGCCCCATTTATACATGAACAATTCCCGTCCCTGAGTTCCGTTGCACTACCTAGAGTTCATAAGCACATGCTCCTTTTTACATTGGTGGCCCGGTGGTAACGTTATCAAATTATCACCTCGCAGGTGTGTTCGAGTCCCACCAGCACCGCCTGATTTCCCTCATTCTGAGTTGAATGACACTCCTTTGATTGGCGGCTTCTTCCTTCCTGAAAAGTTTGTCTTTATACATTCAATAAAAGGAAGTAAAAAACGAAGAAAAAGAATTGATGTCCGGTGATCGAATGACTTGCAGATGCTGAATACAGCCGAGACAGAACACGAGGCTGAAGTATCTAGATGTACACAGTCACATTATGAACCAATTACAAAAGGAACCTCAAATTGGGAGCCACGCGTTTCAGAGAACAAAGTAAGTTTGACAGGGTCAAGGCAAAGATGCGATGAATTACCCCTCTCGCGGCAATCACAAGGACTAATCCAATGAGAACACAATGGGAGAGCAATATGACGTGTGCAAAACAACCAATCAGGGACCTGTGGTAGCGGTCGATTGTCACTGGTTTACGCGGAAGCCTTGCAAACTGGATGTCTCATGAACAATACCGGAGTGCGGTTGGGATGGCAAAAATGGGATGCAGTCGTACGGGTATGGCGGTTGTCAACATGCACGATAAGAAGACTAATCAGGTGATCACATGATCCCAAGGGTCATGACATGGATGACTGACCTGAAGGAAAGACCAGCAAGTAGTAACACGAAAGTTTTTGTTGGGGGGTTGTGGTTCGTACTCTTGCCCCATGTTGGCGTTTCGTACAACTGGATCGGTTGACTGATCGAAGAGAGAGAGAGAGATGTGGAATGTCATAAAGATTCACTGCTATGCACGTCGAAGTTTAGGATATGATCATGATTCATACAGTTTGGATTCTGAATCAATTGTGGACACAGAAACAAGACGAAATGGTAACGAATTTCCAATATTACGCATTCTGTGTGATAAAAAATGACGCGGATATTTCAGTCAACAGTTTTGGAGCAATGATTTAGATGGATAATCCTTGATCGACAACATGAGCACGGGCAACTGGATGATCGGGATTCTTAGTTAACCGAATACACAAGTTTCCCCGGATTCGATACGATCCTGGGTGGAGTACAAACCCTGTTTTGGTTTTCACTCGTCGTGGCTAAGATAAGTTAACTTTTCCTCAATAATCATGAGCACGACGCCCAAATTTTTCAATGAGATCCGTTCCATCCATGGATCTCGTGTGATTAACCCTGTAGAATCTCTTGAGAAGATTCTGCGATGTGGATTGTACACGGGTAATCCGTCCTAAGGATCGAGTGACGCGCAACTCCCTAAGTCAACAGAAGACTAGATTATCTTGAAATGCCGTACTGTTATAGACAACGAATGGTCAATAGAAAATAATGCCCATTGGAAATTTTAATGTAGAATAAGTACAAACCTCAAATCGTGAGGCAACTCGGGGAGTGTGTTTGCACTGTCAAGGCACATTCAAATGATAGTGTGTGTGATAGTCATGCTTCGTGGACGTTCGAAATTTTGCGATCGCGTTGTACGACGATGTTAGTTAGGCAGGCAAGCAAAGGGCAGCATGTGAGGTGAATGGCATGGAGGATGCGGGAAGGTCAACACCGACGAGGTAATGAATTGACGGAGCAAGCAGTGAATGAGTGGATTTGAGGCTGGGGATGTGTGAAACCGACGAGCTGAATTTGACTGAACGCTCCGGTTCCAAGGTTTTAACTAGTTCACGCATGTTCATGACGCAAAGAAGAAATTGTGATGAGTAGCTGACAGTCGAAAACGAGTTCAGAGAGCTCAGAATCAATAATACCAGAAAGTGTGTTTGTGTGCTTGGACTCTAAAATAGTTTACTTCCAATCTACAACAGACATCAACTAAAATGAGGCAACCTGACGACAGATAAGACGTAACAGAAGTTGGTATACCCAGTCAGTCATTATACTAATAAAAATATAGTCGCCGTTGCACATGTTCTTTCTATCGTTGACTGACTCATTCATTGACGTCCACGAATGCGCTCCGATAAGCCTAAAATCAATAATGTGAATTGCGCGACAAACTGTTCGAATATGAAGTCAGATGAGTGCGTGCAACCCAACAATCACATTTCACCATGGGTTCTTTAAGTAGATCAAACATGGTGCGTATCTCGTGTAAACGTACATGTGCATATGTCTATGCGAAGATGCAGCGTGCCGCCTAACCTACTAACTGATCTCGATCGATAATGTTTTGACAAAACCACGATCAATGGTCAAATTCACTTACAGTCTGCAAATGATTGATAAATAGACGGTTATAACAATACTGAACAGTCCAACTGAAGTTCATACGTGATCCCGGTGAAATCAAGCTCAGCTGAATTTTAAAACAATGTCAGAAACCAAAGGATTTCTAACAAAACGATGTATCATCCCCGGTCGACTGGAGGAGAAAATAGCCATTGTCACTGGTGCAAACACGGGTATCGGATTGTGTACGGCCGGAGAACTGGCACGACGTGGTGCCACGGTGATCATGGCGTGTCGAAGCGTAGAGCGGGCAGAAACCGCAAAGACCAAATTGCTAGCGGATTACGGTGCAACGAACCCGGATTGGATGAAAAAAGATGTAGCGGATCCGGCAGTGGCCTCTTCGTTGACACCCATTGAAGCCACACAAGTGAGTTAACGTGTTGATTTTGCTTCGGAATCCCTCACAAGGAATTAAGGTTTCAAGCTTTCAGTTGCCCGGTATAGGAAGTCTCTATTGATCGAAATTAGTAATTGATATCATAGCAGAATAGTATTTGGATACGGACACATGAGACTTTATGTAAAATTGCACCTGTTAGCTAATTTTCATTTGGTATTTACCATTAAAATGTGACATTTATGCGAAAAGATGAAACCTTAAGCCGAATATCATTATTCATCCACAAACGATCTGTGTGTTCAAGGTGACACTGATATACAATAAAATCTGAGTCCGACAAATCCTATCCGTCCGCGCGTTCTCTTCTTTTTTGTGTCGGTCAATTTGTTCCCCCTCACAATCAGGTTTAATTGTGTTGATGCTTGGTTCCACACAATTAACCAGATCACATAAGAATGTTTGTCACAACTAGCGATGACCGGCATACATCCTCTTATCCAATCATATATTCGACTAAAAGCGTTAGGTTGTTCAAATTTGTATCTAAGAAGCCCAAATACTGCATCTGTATATATGATAACGATTTGTTTTCATATATCATATCGGTGAAATAGGTTTCCGAGAAGAGAGGCATTCTTATTGGAATAGTGAGTTGGTATGGAATAAAAGATGTTTCCTTACTTCCTTTTGAGGTGAATATGTACGGTCAAACTTTCAGGAAGAAGGCCACGGTCATGCACAGGCTACCTGAGGAAGTACAGAAACGAACAAGACGGTCGGTGGCGGAACGGTTTGAACCCGGGTCACGATTTGTTGACCTAGCCACTTTCACCCACTTTCATGTTTCAAGTTATCCAAGTATCCTTTTAAGATGTTCGGGTATTATTTCAGGTTGTTTCAATAACCTTTCAAGATGTCTGAGCGTCGGTGCTGACAGTGCCATGTACTGTTCAAACCTCCCAACGATATCAGGATGACCAACATGCAGCACAGATTTATCTACCTCCCGTCGAAGCGCGGAAGGGCGGGGGGACGATTGTGAAATGTGCCCCGGTCCCACACGCCTCAATTCTCATGACATACATATTGGTTGTTTATCTTGCTAGTACGCGTACATAGCTCAGCAGTTATGCGTTTGTCCCCCTCCCTCTGAAAAGTCATATTACGTCATGCTCCGTTGATAGCAATGAATCATGCGCAATCAACACTTGAGCCATTGCTGACCGCCATAGATTGATGTCGCAATAGAATAGAACTCATAAGCTACACCTCAAGTGGCTACGCTGGGACACCAATGAATCATGCTCGATCGATACGCGCATCATAGTTCACCGGATTTACATCCGGTTTGTCTGACACTTGCAAATTATTTTCCATCTTTTTGATCTCATCACAGAAGAACCAAAATGATTACTTTGGCCGTATATCCGGAACGTAATGAGTTATCTCTATCAAACAAACGGAAATTAAAACGAGAGCTGTCGAAATACATGATAAATGTTATGATAGTTACGGAATCGTGAGTTCAAAATTCAATTTTCTAAGTACAGACTCTGGATGTGATAATCTTTATCGCTGGGATCATATAGTCTTACTAAAACACTTCCACCACATAAAGTAATCCGGGTGAGACAATACCCAAACAATCTGAAATGATATTCAGATAACTCTAATTGCAAAAGAGAGAAATTAACACACACCCTGTTTGACTCCGGCACTACATATTAACAGATGGTTGATCAATCTCATGCGGGACTTACAGCAGAGGCACGAACTAGCAAACACCATAGATCACGGTTGCGAAAATGCTATGATGCTGAAATGCACTTACATCAGTAATTGATCAATACTTATGACTGCCATCAGTCAGTTTCAAATGATTTGAAGACAGAAGAACAGCAGTGTAAAAAGAACGGAATATCGAACTGTTGAAGCCATGCATCATCTATTATCATCTTAGCACAGCTTAGAATGCTCGCGCGTGCTGGAGTAACCAATAGAGCAACCACTGCTTTACCTACAGGCCAATTACAGGACAATATAGAACCAGATAAATAACACAAGAAGATATTCGAACAGCGAACAGTCGAGTTGGGAGGCGGGTGTACCAACACTGATCGCATAATTGGTGATACTCTCTTACCGGGTGTGAATAAAATGTTAGTTGGTACTTCGAACACTTCGGACACATTGTCACGAACTGTTTGTGTGTTTGTTTATTCCACTCGCTATTGCCTCTGCCGTAGGTAGCATTCGGGTTTTATCTTCCCTAAAGCCCGCTCATCTAATAGACTTGAGTGAACGATTCCAGCACATTCACGATGGGATTCGACTCGGTCAGACGCATACCAACCGCATTCCCACCTGTTCTTATCGGTCCCCGATTGAATAAAGCTGGATGGTGTTCTCTCATTCGATTGGCGAAGCGTCTGCTGGTGTGACCCTCTTGAGGGGTAAGTAAAATGGTAGAAACAAATAGAGGTCATCTCCATCGATATCTCTTCCTTCATCTGCAATTGAACAACTGATGGAGAAGAGTAGAAAATGCGCGATTCCGCTCATCAATAAGTATTTTCTACTACACTCCTCAGTCCTCCGGTAATTGTCCTCACAAAAGAATAATCTTTGAAATGCAATGAAATATAAGCGTTTTAGTTTTCCAATATTTGGTTCCTTTGTAATGACAATGCAGACTCTTATACAACAATCGACAAGTTCCTATGGGTGTTCATTTTTTTAGTAACATTGACTTAGTCGTTGCGAATTCACCGTCCACGTGTTTGTTGCTAGACCAAAGTCGTGTTACACGACTGCCGATACACAAAATTTAGCTTCGTTAAAGCTGCATCGGAATCAAATTGTGACAGTTGACGTGTTGTCCTGTCCACGTATTCTTTCTGCGTACGCTTTGTCTGAGAGAGCCATTTTTGCAGCTTGACAACTAAATGCGGACACATATGCAAGCGCTATTACCATGCTTTCGCCACTACGATACCCTCTGTGTTGTTCTCATCTGCCTCATGGATTTGCACCTATCATTGATTAGCCCTGACATCCGCCCACGAACAAGTACATGTCTGCCCGTAGGCACCCACACAGGATGACTGCACCGTGATTTCACGGCGGCCCAGAATGACTAACGTTCACATTCATCGAGCCAATGTGTGAGGTTTGCATATTTTTCACTATTGTAATCTGTATATTTCCGTACCGGTTCGGAGAAGAAACCCCATTTCGTTGAAAGACACTGTAGTCTGGGTGTTTTATCCGTCACTCTACGTAGCCGGTGAAGTCAATAAGTGTGTTGGTGTATCGTAGATGGTGGTTCAATGGAAACTACGTTATAATCCTTGGATCCACGTATCCCTGTTGAACAGAGTTCCACCAAGACTATGGAATCAAACGGAAAATCTGTTTCCTCCATTGGGGGCACTTGTATAAAGCGCTACATGTTGCCTTGTCAAACATTTTCGGTTCTGGTTGCTTTCAATTGCGTATAACTGTCTGTCGAGAAGTTTTCCGCGATCTACGTTCTGATAAACTCTTTGGTTTCTTGGAACCACTTTTAAGGGTGGGGCTAATTATGGTGACCAAACACGTTGCTCAGGGGGCTGGCAGTAACTCAGCTCTACACTTGTTAGACTTCTCAAACCTAACTGCTCTTTCGAATTCTCTATTGAACCCCGGCAACTGTGCTCTCTGAATTAGGGGGTCAAACACCGAACAGTACTGTTTAACAAATGGGAGAATGTGGATTGGTTGGTGAACATATTTACTTTCGTGAAAATGTGAAATCATTAGACTAACGGTCAAGGATTGATAGATTCTGTCGATAGAGATACGCACATGATCTATAACGAACCAAAGCGAAAACGGATCAAGTGGATTTGGTATAAATGCGTTTTTATATACTTATTCAAGTAATATAGCAAAAATCAATAATTCCTGTGCGTCCCTTACCAGTAGAACGCGTAGGGAATTAAACCACTAACCTGCGCATCCTCCAGCCTATTTTCTTTATTCGGCATCTTCTTAGGGCCGCATACGCTAAGCATCTTGTCGTAGCGTTCCACTCATTGTTCTTGTGCAAACCATCTTCGTCGGTCTAAACGCTGGCCACCAGCCATGGTTGCCACTTGTCACCTAGTTCGAACTTTGACAGCACTAACAGGATATCATATACCCTCAGTTTTTTTAGCTGATAACTATTTCTGCTCATTTTGCACTGTAGGCGAATATTTTTTGTTCCACCTCTGCCAGCCTACTTTCACCCGGTGATTGAGATGCCCTGATCGTTGATCTTTTTCCGTTCGATACACGTCAACAGTATGCCTCGAGCTTCGGTTATAATCAAAAAGTGATTGAATGTAATCACCACATCAATCCGACAGTAAGATGGTGCCAAAGGTTACTCATACGTGATGACCCCTCTGCGTTTACTAAGCTCGACAAAGTGTCAGTTGATAATATTTTTCGTTGGTCGAACTGTTTTTTTGTAGCCCTACCCCCCGTCTATTTGAACTTATCGATCGCCCCCTCTCAGCGTCTTGAATCTTGAGGGCATTATAGCCCCGAC